CGCGCGCGCGCGCGGGGGAGGAGGAGGAGAGAGAGAGAGAGAGAGAGAGAGAGAGAGAAAGATTTTCAAGGGGATCGATGTTTACGACGGCGCCTGGCTACTGGCATTCGCAAAATATTGTTCGCTTCTCGTGGTGCCCGGATGATACACCCTTAAAATACACATTCGGCCGTCCGATTATATGCTAATGAACGAAAGCTAAAGGGACCCGGGCGTGGAAGAAACGGCGCGGTAACGAATCCTAAGCTCGAAAAGGGACAAATTCTCGGGGACATTGACAAACGACGTGGCGAAGTGGAATATTCGGTTTGGATTGGCAACTCCGTCAGGGATCGTTAAAGACGCGCGGCAAACCACGGGGATGAGTTGAAAACTCGGGCAAAGTATCACAAGCGCCGAAGCATATTTAGACTTTTATCGATACTCTTGGTCTCTTGGCGAAATACAAAAACAAAAGAAATTGCGGCTCTCGACGGGAAGAAGAACAGTCTCCGATATTCCGTACGAACCACTCAATATTATTACGTAATAACAATGTTTAACCGAGCTGGTATTAAAGTACGCGCTGGATGGTTGTGCGGAGCGACTTGCAATTTTTGCCGCTTCGTCAGAATGTTGAAACTGCCGAGAGCACCGGGTCAAATTTCCTTCTTCTTTTTTGTTCCTTTATTTTTAAAATCACGCAGGCCTGTAATTGTACGCCGTTTCGTCCTCGGCGTGTAAGTTTAATGAAAGTTCAACGTGCCTTAGAGCAACCTGGCTATTTTAACCGATACCCCATTATAACCGACGTCGTTGTTTGACTGGCGGGCTAACGAGAATGAATCGATTCCAGAACGAAGAGCGAGCCTCATTTGAGTTTCTAGGAAAGTTATCGATTCGCTCGATTCGAATCTCCACAGCAAATTCTTCTTTACGATTGCGCAACATATGGCAATCGCAACTACGGCCGTTCGACGATATAAAAATTTCAGGATATTTACTATAAAAAAATTTCAAGTAATCATAAAACGCACGATATTTGAAGAAATATATTTGTAAAAACTTGTTAGTTAATAATTAATTGATTATTAATTTTGATTTGAAAAATATATCAAGAAGAATGATTATGATATTAAATTATTATATAAAGTAACGAATAGAGGAGAGATAAATATAGTTTTACGTAGAGTTTATAAAATGAATGAAAAAATGATTAACCAACACGTTGCAAATAACCGAAAAATGTGGAATTATTTTTTAATAAAATAATGGCTCAAAATAATAATAACATCCTTTGTTAAAAATCACGATGATAAAAACTGCTGCGAAAATCTGCGTTTCAATTAACAAGAAAGAAAAAAAGATATCCAGTGAAATTATTATTTCGATGTATTGTCGATGTGCATTTCGGTGTTTGGATTTGGTCAGAGTAATTTGCAATTTGACATGCAATAGCGGGGGGAAAAATGGCGATTTTTGTTTCACAACGCGGCTGCAAATTCAGCTGAAAGTTACGATGTCCATCAAATATTTGGCTTCCACCTTTCGCGTGTATAATCGCGAACGGTCCGTTTCTCCATCAAGCTCATCTCCACCGCGCCGAACGCCCCCCCGCTCGCTCGCAATTTAAACTTTAATCGCGAAAGCTGCGGAACAATAGCGGCCGCAGCGTACACAGGGATGCGGACAAAAGATATGTATTATAGACCCCCGCTCTAGAAAAAAAAAAGAGAAGGAAATAGGT